ACATATTGAAGCCCAAACATGCTGACCTTCTGTTCTCAGAGGCGCAGAAGACCAAAGCATCAGAATGAGAATTCAGGATGACAAATCGTAACACCACTGCCTCTCTGTTGCTTTGGTGTTCAGCAAATCATTTAACTATTCTGAGCGTCTGATAAAACTACAAACACCTATTGAGCAGGATATATGGAAGTGCTAAAGACAATGTGTATGAAGCACGAACGTCGCATGCTCACAACATTCCATAATCAATAGGTGGGGTGGTTGGTCATTATGCTCAGAACATACGGTGATCAGTAGTAGGGGGTCAGGGTCATTATGCTCAGGATATATGATGATTAACAGTTGAGGTTCGTACACATTCCCTGTACAGCACCAGACTGTAACTATGTTAGGCTTGGTGGGCCATCTGATCCCGGTAGTGACTGCTCACCTCCACAGTCCTAGTAAGAAAGCCATCATGGACAACATGTGAACCAACGGGCACGGCTGGGTTTGCCTCCCATGAGGTCCCGATCGAGGCTCTGTGATTATCATTTGGAATCAAGACTAAATCCTGGACTGCTTCTGTCTCTACAGATAGGGCACATTTGCTGTACACAGCACGTGGAACATAATTATTCCTTGATAAGTATCATTATGATGATTTGTATGACTATCCTCCCAACGATGACGATCATGTTAATGCCTATTATGCTCTTGATACTTGCCAGATGTCTAATCTTCCCAACATTATGAAGCAGACACAAAGCGTACCTCCACCTTACAAGTGCACAAAATGAGACGTCGGGAGGTTTCACCTCCCTCTGAGGAGGCAGAGGTGGCCTGCGGAAGCGCTAAGGGGTTTCCGAGTCAAAAGCCCCAAGGCTGAGCCTGGTGCGCAGCTCTGCTGCTTCGTAACCCTGGCTAATACTGAAACTCACATGTTTGGGGCTCACAGAAGGAGCGTGAGTGTTGGCGCTCTCCTTATCAAATGTGTCTTTATCTAAGTCTTCCTCTAATCTCTCTCATGGAGACGCCAGTCATTGCAGTACGGATGCCCCCTCCCCAATCAGTACGACTTCACCATCGTTGCATCTGCAAAGGCCCTACTTCCAAAAAAGGACATATCCGCAGATTGCAGACATTAGGACTGGGACATCCGGGGGACACAACTCAACTCATTATACCTGGTAGTCACCAGCTGAGACAATGTCCTGAGAAACCATGCACAACAGTATAAGCATGAACCCCTAAATCCAGAACCACAACCCCACTGTGTCAACATGTGGGCAGCATCCTAGCTCAGGACACGTGGGCAGCATCCTAGCTCAGGATTGGATGCTCTAGTTCTTGGCCGTTGATCAAGGTGTGTAGGTGAGAGCTGAGATGAAGGGCTAGGCACTCCCCACCTGGGAAGATCACACTGGTGCAGAACCAGCTGCCTGGCTGGCCCGGCACGGAAGGCCTGGAGCAGAGTAGGGTTCATGTACATTATCAGCAGACTACTGAGAGCACAGCTCCTGGGACAGTGGGGGGTGCAGCCTGGGGACCTGCACCAGCTGTACATCATAAGCTCAAGGGCACAGCCAGTGTGTGCAGTGCATGCTGGGAGTCAGCAGTGCCGTATGCAATGGGCCAGGTCCAAGGACCAGACTCAGGTGTCGTGAGTGACATGGAAAGACCACGGCAGGACCCCTATCCTGATGGGGCTGGGGAATGAGGCAAAGATACGGAGAGGGCCTGGGCAAAGGTAGGGGACTCCAGACTTGGGGTACAGGTGGGGGTGGGGTCTTGGGCCAAAAGGTATCTGAACAGGAAGGAAGGTCAGAAAGGGGGACAAGGCTGAGTCAGAATGTCAGCAAATCCTTTAAATTCTTCTACCTAAAGTGGAAACTCAGGGAGGAGGTGATGGGGGGAAGGACACTAGTTTGATAACTTTGAAAGTGCAAAGTCAAGGGCAGACAACTGGCAGTGCTGGGGTGTTCAAGAGATTGTGGACAGACATGGATTGAGAGGTCTTCACTGGATCATCAAAAGTCCCTGGAAAAGGTTTTCTTTGAGGGGGGTGTGTGTGGGGGGGCTTTCCTGAGACCCCGAAAATGGGTCAGCGGATCACGACCCCTCATGTGGCTTGAGACCTTAAAAGCCGATGTTCCCACCTGCACATCAGCGTGGGCGACACAGGCACGCTGAGTTCTTGAGAGCAACGCTCTAAAAATAAAATGAAATGGAAACTCATGTTTTAAACATCGGTGGTTCTGGCTCCACCGCTGTCCTTTGATATCAATACAATGCTGTAGGCTGAATTAATTAATTAATCTGCATTGCGCCCCAGAGCTCAAAGTGCTTCTTTCTCCGCTCACAAGCATTTCCACCAACAAGGGTGTGAAAGAGAAGGTAAGGAGGACAGCCAGCCCCACCCTCTTTCAATCCCTCGGATGGTTTCAGTTCTGTCCATCCTGGCCGAATCTTCTGGTGGCCCCGTACTTCTCACGTATCGCTGAGATGCATTTCAGGACATGTATCTGTCACCTTGGAGGAGTCTAAGCTTCAATATTGAATCTCCCGTGAATCGATTTGCATTACATTGTAGATGCGTGGGCTCACGGTGGTTCACACGCCTCGTTTCAAGTTTGTCATAGAAAGAGGTGGCTAGTTAAAGTCATTGCTGAGCAGTGAACACTGATGAAAACGTGGGCTTTTAGTCCAAGTGTTAGTCTTTCCGCTAATAATTATGCCTGGCACTACGCTAAAAGCTCAGGGCAAGAAGATGGCTATGACCCAATCCTCACCACCTAGAAGCTTAAAGACAAAGAGGGGAAACACACTGAAGCGAGGAGTCACACAGCGTGGTGTATGCAGATCAGGAATCTGTCAAGGAAGGCCCGTGGGCCATAGTCACCCTGCTGCCTACTTTGTATGACGTGTGAAGTAAGAAATAGTTTTAAACATATTTTTAAATTAAATTTAGTGGCGTGACAATAGTTAGTAAAATTACATAGGGTTCAAGTATACAATTCTGTAATCCATCATCTATATATCACATGGTGTGCTCACCACCCAGAGTCCGTTCTCTTTCCATCACCATATATCTGATCCCCTTTTCCCATTTCTACCAGGCAACCAACTGAATGGGAGAAGATATTTGCAAACAACGCCTCCAATAAGTGGCTAACATCCAACATATATAAAGCATTCATACAACCCAACAACAACAACAAAAACAAAAACAATCCAATTTAAAAAAATGGACAGAAGACCTGAACAGACACTTCTCTCAGGAAGACATACAAACGGCCAACAGATTTATGAAGAAACTGCTCAACTTCACTAACTATTAGGGAACTACAAATCAAAACCACAATGAGCTATCACCTCACATCTGTTAGAATGACTATCATCAACAAGACAAATAATAACAAGCACTGGAGAAAAAGGAACCCTCATACACTGCTGGTGGGAATGTAAATTCGTACAGCCACTACGGAAAAAATATTTTTAATAGTCAGAAAAGGTCAAAAGAAGAATAGTATTTTGGGACAAGTGAAAAGTCTATGCAACTCTACTCTTACTGTAGAATCTCACAATCAGAATCCTTGGTATTTATTCACAAGAACTGGACACTATGTCCACATGAAAACCTGCCCACGGATGTTTGTAGCGGCTTTGTTCATCCCCGCCGAAACTTGGAAGGGACCAAAATGTCCCTCGGTGGGAACATGGATCAACTATGGTCTACCCAGACAATGGAATGTTACTCAGCAAAGAAAGGAGCTTCCGAGCCATGAAAAGACATGAAGGAACCTGAAATGCACATGGCTAAGTGAAAGAAGCCAGTCTGGAAAGGCTACACACTGTAGGATTCCAACTTGATGACATTCTGGGAAAGGCAAAACTATGGAGTCAGTGAAAGGACATTGCCAGGGGGTTGGAGGAGGGAGAGATGAAGACATGGAGCACAGAGGATTTTGAGCAAAAATACTCCACGTGATGCCATAACGATGCACACGTTATCCATTTGCCCGAACATACAACACCAAGAGTGGACCCTAATGTCAACTGTGGAACCTGGGTGATAATGACGTGTCAGTGGAGGTTCGTTAATTGTAACAAATGTCCCACTCTGTTACATGTGGGGGTGAAGTGTTAAATGTGGGGGTGCTGATAGTGGGGGCGGCTGTGCCTGTGTGGGGTGTATGGGAAATCTCTGTACCTTCCGTTCAGTTTTGCTATAAACCCAAAAATGGTACAAAAAGGGGTGCATAAAAATTATATGAAAGTCAAACGTCAGTGCCTGTGAATAAAGTTTAATTGTCATACAGTTCCAGGGGTTCGTTTCCACGTGGTCTGTGGCTGCCTGCTCTAGGCCATCCTGTAATTGTGAATAAGGTGACGTCACGGCGAAAAGCAGGAAGAATCAACTCTGCTTCCCAGAGACACTGACAGATGTGGGAGCGAGATATAGAAGGATGAGGTGGGGCGGAGGGTTTGAGGACCTGTGGCTCGCCTTCCCACGGCTGCCTAGCATGTGTTGGGACTCACATCCATCCTTGGGGGGCATCAGAAGCTACTGTTACACAAAATCAATGTAGAACAATCGTTTCCCATTTCGATAATGGAAAGAGAACTTCACCTGCAGCCTGAGTTTCTAGCGTTTCCATTTACGTTTGTGTCAATGACCAAGTCTAGTTTAGAATTTTCATCACTGGGCTCCATGTAGAATACAGATATGAAGCCAGTCTTCCAAAGAAAGGGACAGGTTTTTTAAGACATTGTCTACCATCAAATGACGCACAGATGGAGGATATTTCTGTCTTGTTATTTTTATAATGGGTGCACCTGGTTAGACTAAATTACTTTCCCCAGAACTTCCTCACCTGTGTAGTTCTGGCTCCCTTGTGCGGTAGCTGTGCTGGTCACGATACGGGTGCGGGGTAGATGTGAAGCAGCCACCATATTGCTTTTTTGGGTCAAGAGAAGGACACCACGAGTTGGGGTAGCTGTCACACGTGGGGCCTTACCTGGGGCATGCCCTGCTTGGCTGGGGGCAACTCTGAGACACACGGCTGCTCTGCGTTCTCTGTTCCTCCTTCAGGTGTGTGATAAGTTCGTCAAACCAAGGACCCAGCTTGTCCTGCTCCAAAGTCAAAATGTCATGGCCTCCGTCATCCCTTTGGTCACATCTTTGCCATTCTCCTGCAAAGACAATATGGGTGATGAGTGGTCTCTAAGTCCACTCGTGTGTACACGTACAACTCATGGTCCCTGTGATAAAGCTGCCTGTTGGGGACTTCAAAAAACTGAGCAAGTCGTGCATGGCCTGTGGTATTGAACATGTTTACAGGAGGTCCAAAGACACCCCTAGGTTCAGTCCCCTCTTTTTCTGTAGTGTAAGTCATGAGAAGGCATCTTCCCTAGAGGTCAAACAGTGCAGAATCTACTCATCTATAAAGCATAGCCAAGACGTACAACCAAACTGCAGAAAAACACTCCGGGCTTCCTCGAAAGAATATATTGAACCACAAATAAGGGAGTCATGGATTCTCTGTGCTGACAAATGGGGCTTTGATTCTGCAGTGGGAGTTACTTATGGGTGCCAGCTTTCAGGGGCTGAGGATCGAGCCCTCACTGCCTTTTTCTTGTGCGTGCTCTGAGGGGGCCAAATTTCTTTCGGGATGACGAATGGGCCTTGCCAAGGAGGAGAACACGCACAGGTCTGAAGTGCGCTCTGCTGTGCTGGCTGTTTTGGAGTTCGGTGGGGCTCGCCCAGTGTTCTTGTGTTTGGGTGGGGACGCTTACATGGCTGTGGGTATGGATTGGCTGGTGCAACTGAGGGTGAGCCATTTCTATCTAAGACTGAGAAATGGCTTTCACCTGATATTCATACAGCACAGCCACTGGCTATGTAGAAAAGTGATTCAGGAATCCAAGTCAACTTGGCAGAGGCCGACGAAATGGAATGCACTGAGATGGACGTGATGGAGACGGGGGGATGCTGGATCACCCCAAATATGTGTAGACTTACTTCCAGGATGAAGGCGGTTGCAAAGTCCAGGCACTGCTTGGAACACAACATCTGCTGGTGTCACTGCAGCGGGCTGGGAGCGAAAAGCAAAGAACATCATTGAAGCAAATGTTTTCCATTAAAAATAAAGATACATTCTGGCCCCTCCCTAGCCCCCTTGTCCTATCATAAAGTCTAGGTGAAATTTGTTTTTTACATATGGAATTGCTCCCCCGGGTCAAACGGGATGCCATTGCTATCAGTACGTTACAAAATCTTGGTCTTTCATTGCCTTTCCTGAAGAGGCAAAGCAAAAAAATCAAAATTTCATTTTCGTTCTGATTAATACTTTTAGTGACAAAGGCATGAGGGGCGGGAAATGAGTGTGTTCATACCGCAGCCCCCTGTGGACTTTCTGCCATGGGGAATGGATGTGAGTGGGGTGCCGTGATAATCACGTGGCCCATTCTCTCCCCCCGCCCCCCACTTCTGTGTTTGGCCCCTGCTGTGTTCCTTCAGCTCCTGGCAGGTGCATACACTCATTTATTTATTCAGCAGGCGCACAAACGGTTTACCCTGACTTAGTGGGGAAAGCAATTACACTTCTAATCAAATAAAGATGAATGAACTCAGGAAATCGAAGAGATAATTTCTTGTTAAGGGCCAGCATCCCTTTGAAAAGGACCATCACATGGCTCCAATTTTGTATGCCACATGGGTCTCGGAACGGGTCTAACCCATTTAGCTCTTTTCTAAAAGTGACAGGTAATGCTTCTCCAAATAATTCAATTTATTGGGTGAAAAAAAAAGAATCTTAAATCATCTAAACAAGCATGTCAGGCGTGTTCCTTGAAATCTGTAGGAATGTTCGATTTCCAAGTATATTCTTCTTTTCTCAGAACGAGGCTTGGAGATTTAAGTTATAATTCAGGCAGTGGTAGGTAGCATTGTTCACTTGCCACGTTGAAATCAATCTTTTCTCCTCTGTGTAACTTGGACTAACTCTCCCCTCCCAATATCAAATGTTTTCCAACAAGCTTTTTTACAATGAAATAATCATGCCTATAAATCGTCTTCGCTAAGAAGGTCCTGGGATGTTGCCTGCTGTTCAATTTAGAATTTGCGGGCGACATCCATTAGACATAAGTTATCCTGAGTCGGCTCCAGGCACTTAATCAGTTGTTATTAACCAGGAGTAAATTGTGCGGGGCTGGTTGTGCAGATTTTTATATTGAAAAATAAATGCTGTTAGGTCTCCTCTGTAGGCCGAGGACTCGGTCTGTGTCAATATGCGCTCAGGGACACGGGTCCCATTTTCAACACAATATTCCAAGGTGATAGGTTTTCATGAATGGCGCCTTGGGAATATGTTCGTCGGCATTGCCCCAGAGGGGTAAGGAGAGCTGAAAAGACCCGCTCCTGAAGGTACACACGTATCGAGGGCAACACTTCGCGCCCACAGTGCACGTTCGTTGACGTCTTGCCCAAGAATTGATGTTCTATTGGGCTGTCAAAAAAGTCATGATGTATTTTTTTCTATGTTTTTCGTTGCAAACATGCGTCATGACTTTTCTGACAACCTAGTGTCTCTTTCACTATATTTACATGGCAGTTGCATGAATATTTAAAGTGATGGCTCCGACCAAAGGAATATTTTCCTTAGGGAATGAACGACCGTCTCTGAATTGGGTTGCAAAGCTGGAAACCCGTTCTTCTGAAACACCGATATTCACCACCTTAGTGATTAAAATGTTAATAAAGAAATTGGTAATATTAGTTTAATGCTGGCACTTTATACTATTGCATTAAGAAGGATATTAGACACACACCACCACCCCCCTCCAAATACACAAAGCTGTCACCTAAAGGAGGAAATGAATTTAGTACAATGGCTGTGATTATGACCAGCCTTTGTAGAAGTTGCTGTGTGTGAGTGAGTGAGTAGTGAGTGACTGTGAACGCCCAGGACATGACCGTACTCAACTGCAGGCCTTCTCACACTGGACACTCAGGCCCCACGCAACTTACAAAACAACACGAGGTTGGATCACGCACAGGAAACAATGATGGTGGCTAACAGATGTGGTAAACACAAGATACCAGTGTAACGCTCGCACTAGTTTACAGCAAACACTTTTTTTGTAATCTGAAAGAATGCACTCTAAAAGAACGACAAAAGTACAGTAAATAAACCATGTGTTATTGTTATCAGGGACTAGGCAATGTACACAGTGGTATGTGCTAGGCTTTCATCCGACTGGCAGCATGGTAGGTTGGTTTACGCCATCGTCACCACACACACGTGAGGGATGCCTTGTGCTAGGACACCGTCATGGCTAAGATGTCACTGGGCCATAGGATTTTTCAGCTCCTTTATAATGAGATGAGGCCGTCATGGTAGTCTGTTGTGGGCTGAAGCATCATTACCCAGTGTATGGCTGTACAAGGAGTGCAAAGTAACAGACCTAATACAGTCGGCAGAAGTTACCTTTCCTTCAAATTCCTCATGGAGCACGCATACAATATGATCAGTCAGTCCCCATGTGTCAATGGCTAGTGTTTTAGCTGGTATTTCTTCTAACACACATTTCCACGGAGACTGTATGTACATTAACATTTGGAAGAAACTGACTAGAATGGCAACAGCAGTTTCATTCCTAATTTACTATTTTTACTACATTTGTGGCGTTCCTAACGATATCACCCACTCAGCACGAATGGCTTATTTGATTAAATCATTCCCTACATGGGAACAGTGGAGAAGTGAATCTGATGAATCATTTTTCACCCCAAATCACATAAAAAAAGGCCTGAGTGGATTTCATGTTCACACACAACAAAGCAATCTGTGCCGAGAAGCTGAGAATCACTCCAGTATTTGCAGGGGATATTCAGTACGAATTTCACAAATCAATCTCTCCTCTCTCTCTCTCTCTCTCTCTCTCTCTTTCTCTCTCTCTCACTCACTCACACACACACACACACACACACACACACACACACACTATCTGGAAATTAAGTTGTTAGGAGTGACCACAGTAATTTCTGTTGGGGGGGGGCGGGGGCAGGTTGGTCTGAAATTAACCAGACATTATTAAGATTTATTCTCATATAAGCTTGAGAGATGGAGTTGCTATAATTTGTTTATTCACTCAACAATTGTCGAGGGCCAGTATCATGCCAGGTAGACTACTAGGCTTGTGGGATAAGCAAAGGTTCCTGGTTCCAGTGACCTTGAAATCTAATAAGGAAGACAGATACACGAATGAAGGATGACGGTGTGTCAAGATGGCAGAGAAAGAACAGTTGGCTATGCGTCGGCTGGTATGAGAACTTCGGTTGCTTGAATGGACATTTGCTACCCCATGTCCTCTAAGAAGCGGATGCTAAGCCAAGAGTAAGCACGCGAGGATTTGATCTGGTGAAATGCATGTATGAAAGAAAATGGAGACGGATGGAGATTCTGGCCTGTTCTGTCCATTTCATGTCACTGGGCTTGTACAGTTTTTGGTACTTGGTGACTGTCTTTTTCACTTAGTATAAAGTGTCAAGCGTCATCCACGATGTACGTTTTGCCTTTTTGGTGAGAAATAATACTCCACTGTATAGATGTACTACACTTTCTTTGTCCATTCATCAGCTGATGGTCTTTCACTCCATTTTCTTACTGCACCTCAATATACCATCTCATGTTTGTTAAAAAAAAAATATATATATATATATATATATATATATATATATATATATATATATAGTCTGTCGTATCATAGTTCTTTCTCAATCCCCATGGCTACCCTCACTCTGCAACAATTTCGCGGATTGTCACCCAAGACCACAACATGTGGTTGTGTAGATTAACCTCCACCTCTCTTTTATAGCCTCGGGCTCAGATCCAACCCAGCCACTCTCATACGACTTCTTAAGAGCATGGTCTACTTCTAGTCTTAACATCTACTGCTCGATTCCATTAAAACAAAGTTGTCCACCAGGTTTCTCATTGGCCACAGCGTCCAGTGGACACTTTTCTCTTGCCCAGCCCCCAAGTTTCACTTCTGTGTGGCCAATTAAGACCCTACTGCAACAACAAATGTGCAGATAACGAGAACAAATTCAAAGCAACCTATACCCATCAATTGCCTCACGGTAGGGGGAGTACACGAAAGCGAGCTGATTGTGGAAATGAGCTGACACTTGCAATAAACAAACCACAGGGTTGAGACCTCCATTCTTGCCAATTTTAGCAGAAGTGCATGTCACAATGAGCGCTTCGGCTAAAATTCTAATAGGAATCCTACGGGTGTTCTGATCAGAAGAAATAGAAGAATAGCAATGGAGACGGGGTGAGCTCAAATTCCACTTGGTTTGATGCTTTCCTTCAAAATCCTCCTTGCTTCCTTAAAATTCTGTCATTTGCCTGTAATGTCCATCCTGGGACGTCACCACACTCTGGAACACAGCATTTGCTAATACGTTGCTATGCATCTTTCTAAGGGTGTCCTCTGCTCTCTTGAAAAGGTAAGTCAATCTAAAGAGAAAAAGACAGTATCGTGTTTTGCTGTCTTTTTCTAGTACATAGCATGCTATGTACACAGGCTCTCAGTAAGCGTGTATTGATGTTAATAAGGGGCTTTAGCCTATGATAGAACTGGACAATTATTACTATTATCAATTCATAATTTACGTAGAGAATATACTCTTCATAGAAAAATACCATAAAAATTTCCATAAAACTTGTTGCCTTGGAGTTAAGTTAAAACATTTATAGATCTATCTATAGATATAGATGATATAGATATAGATATTGATACAGAGGGTGCCAAAAAATATATACACATTTTAAGGAAAAACCTATATTAAAATTGTAACACAATCAATGGCGCTAGCATTCATTTGATTACCGCCATCTTTTGAGCAAACATCATACATACTACACACTGCTACCATAATTCAATTCAACTTCGAAAAGTAATACATAGATAACATCTCTTAAAACGTGTACATTTTGGGGCATTCCCGGTACATACATACATATATAATAATATATATATATATATATATATATATATAAATATATATTTAAATTAATAATCCAAG